ACCCACCTTGATGAAATCCTCCAGGCTCTTCTGGCTCACACATGGATGGTCCTTCAGAAACTGTTCTCGGCCATCTTCCAGCCCCTTCTGAACCCATTGCTCATGAGGCTGCTCCAGAGCCTGGAACACCAGAGCCCCAGACACCAAGTAAAGCAGCACCAGTGCCAACAGGGCCAGGAGTGTGGTGCTGCGCATGGCCCTTCCAGAGGCAGGTCCAGCTCCACTGCCTGCTTGGGAAGGAGGAGCAGGGATCTCCTGGGGAGCAGTGGTCACTGCAGGCCAAACCAAGGATTCTGGGGTCAAGAAGAGATCTGACATTCACACCCCCTTCTCTATCTTAGACTCCTCAACGTTTTTAAGCCCCTAGCTTTGTTGCCCATAGATCTGGCCCTCATGTATCCTCTGGTTCCAGGTGCTAATATCTAGGCTCCCACCTCCAGCCTCCCTCTTACCTCCAGGACCTAGCTATTAGGAGATAAGGAAGGAGACACTAAGCCAGGCAGGGTGAGTGAGAAAATGGAGGGACTTGTAAGGCATAGAGCCTGCCTTGGAGAAGACCCAGGGAGGACTAGGGGGTTCCAGGAGAAATCGAGCGGCTGGAGCCCGCAGAACTGGAGACAGGAATAGCAGGTCCATACTTGGTTCTCCCAGTGCGGCTGTGGCAGCCTCCTCAGATGCATCTGTCCCCTCCTGCCTTCCAGCCTAGTGGGGATCAACGGGGCAGGGATCTTCCAGGGTCCCCACCCGTCCGCTGGGCTTTCGAGGAACCCCGAGGCGGATCTGGCTGCAGAGTATAGGGAAGGCCCAGAGCCAGGGAAAGGAAAGGTGGTCACAAGGTTCCCAGAAGAAGAGAGGCACAGGGTGGGAAGGGCAGCACGAATACAGCAGCCCACGGGACAGCTGTCACGTAGGGGGCAGTGGGACATGGCAGGCGCGCACACACATATATACTCAGCCTGCTACCTGTGCCACAAAGATCTTTGAACCACATTCCATCCTGCAGCTGTAGTGGCGCACTGCACAGGCTGCAGACATATAGCACTGCACTATGCTCCGGCAGACCCTGGCACAACTGACCACCATGGGCGTGCCCGCAGTGCTGAGCTACCCTAGAGGTCCATGCGCACGAATGCACACACACACACCGGACCCGCGTGACACCGCACGCCAGCCGCTTGCTCCCACCACCTCCCCCGCGTCCTTACGCCGACGCCTCTGAGCGTGACCGGCGACGGGACGCACGGTCATACCACTCGAGGAAGGCATCCACGGGCGGGAGGTGTCCCGCCCTGCCGGTTGCCTCCTAGCTCCCCGGGCCTGGGATCCAGCCCACATTCCCGCTCCTGCTCCGCACTTACTGTCTGCCCACTCTGTGGCTGCGGCGTTGGCTGCGGCTAGGTCTCCCGCGCCGCCTCGAGCGGGTGCGGGCTGGGCCACGGAGGTGACAGCGACAGCCCAGAGATCGAGCAGGCGGCCGTCTGACTGGGACCCCCCCTCCCGCCCTCAAAAGCCCCCTCCTTGGGAGCTTAACCCTACCAGAGCTGCGTCTCCCTACGTGCCGCACCCTCGCCACCGGCTCTAGCCACCAACCGCCTTGCACCGAGCCCTTTACCTGCACCTGCAGCCTCTGGCCTCCCCAGTCCTGTCTTGTTCAGGCCAGTGAGTGGCAGAAGAGCCAGAAAGTGGTCGACGCGGAGTCCAACCTTCCAGGCTGAGATCGAGGCCCCAGGGTTGCCCTAACCTGGACATCAGCTGGCCCGGGGCTCAGAACAACCGCCACACTCATTTCCTGGAATCTTCTATGTCTATTACTGGACTGGGAAGAGCCTTCGTTTCTCCGCCCATGAGGATAGTCTCCCCCTTGGGCTCGGCACTTATGAGAGAGAAGCCCTCAGGGAGAAGAGGGTATGTGGGGGTGGAAGGCGGGGAGATCTCTTTGAGGCCACCTGGATTTAAACAGCAGGATGGGCTGGGTCCCAGTTCTGGGAAGTCACTGGTGGAGCGCCTCTTGCTCCTCAGGCTGCATCCCCATCTCTGATCCTCCAGGCCCTGGAGTCAGCCCCCGGGGGCCATCTGCTGCCTGCCAATTCCAGCAGAAAGAGTGCTAGCATTTTCTAAACAGCTAAGGCTGGGTCCTCTCCTGTCTCAGTCCCCTGTTCATACCCATTTCTTTACTGAGCTCCGCAAAATCTCTCCTGTAGCCTTCTGAGACCCCATGCTTTTGTGGTCAATACTTTTGATGTTGTTGGGGGTTTTTTTGTTTTGTTTTATTTTATTTTTTTATTTTTGAGACAGATTTCTCTGTGTGCTCCAGGCTGTCTTGTAGACTAGGGTGGTCTCAGACTCAGAGATTCACCTGCCTCTGTCTCTGGAGTGCTGGGATTAAAGGTGCCCCCTACCACCACTCAGTCTTGTGGTAATGGTCAGTATGTTTAAGCCTAGAGTGACCACCAAGACGATAGGGGATCAGGACAGATAACCAAACTCTCTAGTTCCTACTTGCAATAAAAGGGTGATTACTTAACTCTGGATGCTGATTTTGAGTATTTAAGAAGTCAATATTTAGAGGCTGGAGAGATGGCTTAGCCTTCAAGAGCACTTCTTACAGAGGACCCAAGTTCAAGTCCCAGTACCCACAACTTTCTGGGACACCCTCACAAATACATACATGTAGGCAAACCACCAATGCCTGTGCACACATACAAGGCGAGTGTTTTGTTTTTGGTTTTTTTTTTGCTTTTTTTCTTTCTTCTTTGTTGTTGTTTTTTTGTTTTTGTAGCCTTGGCTGTCCTGGGACTTGTTCCGTAATCCAGGCTGACCTCAAACTCACAGAGATCCACCTTTCTCTGTCCCTCAAATGCTGAATTAAAGGCACGAGCCACCTCTGGCCATCTGAGGTCAGTGTTTATAAATGCTTAAAGCCTAGCACACAGAATTAAGTGTCCTATAAATGTTAGCAATTTTGTTTCCAACCAGAAGTGATTGTCCGGCTTCCTGCTGAAGTCCTGAGCCTCTGCTGTTCTTCTCTCTGGAGACCTTGTAGATCTGGCTCCAGGACGGTTCCGAAGAAAAGATTTCAAGGCAGACTTACTGCTAGACTGAGATCTCAAAGGAGCTGGAACCACCAAGTTTATAGCAGGAGTCACAGGCTCTGATAATCAAGCCTGAGCCACAGGGCAGATCTGCCAGGATGTCAGGAACACAGGGCAGTGACTAAAACTTTGGGGGCAATAGGAGGAGTGTACCAGGAGCTGACTCAGGTACAAGTAGCCAGGAAATCAGGATGACCCATACCGAGGTAAGTAGAAGGAGGCTGTGGCACAGAAGCACTCATCCCCTTTGTAGACCCTCCATAAACGTGACATTTGAAGACCACATTAGCCGTGGTGACAGAAACCAAGCCTCAGGTCAGTGAGATGACTCAGTGCTTGGAAGGACTGCTTGCCTACCGAGTCTCAAATTCCAAGTTTTTTTACTGGAACCTACACAGTTTTTTCTGGCTCTATACCTGTGTGTGTATATGTGTGTCCATATACGCACACACAAGTACATGCACAGCACAAACACACACTAGGCCTCTACAAAACTAACGTAATCCATTAGAGGACAAGATGCCTAACAGGCTGTGGAGATGGCTTAGTAGTTAAGAGCACTAGCTGCTCCTCTTCCAAAAGACCTAAGATCAGTTTCCAGCACTGGCAGCCCACAACCTCTAACTCTAGCTCCTGGGGATCCGATGCCCTCTTCTGGCCTCTTTGGGAACCACACACAGGTACAGGTGCAGATACGTTAATAAAAATAATCTTAAGGAAAAAAAAAGATGCCAGTGAGATGGCTCAACAGATAAAGGCCTATGCCACCAAGCCTGATGATGTAAGTTCTACCTCGCCAATCCACATGAAGGAGTGAACCGACTCGTCAGTTGTCATCTGACCTCTGCACATGTGCTGTGTCAAGCGCTTGTCCATACATACACAAAGACATACATACAAATAAATGCATGTCATTAAAAAAAAAAGTTAGCTAAGCGTGGTGGCACATGCCTTTAATCCCAGAGCTCAAGAGGCAGAGGCAGATGGATCTCTGTGAATTCAAGGCCAGCCTGGTCTAGAGGGAGTTCCAGAATAGCTGAGGCTACACAGAGAATCTCTGTCTTGGAAAAACAGAAACAACAAAGAATGTTAAGGGGCTAGTGAGATGGCTTAGTGGGCAAAGGCACTTGCTACCAACCCTTACATCTGAGTTTGATCTAGAGGACCCAGACAGAAGAAGAGAATTGCCTCTACAATACATGAGCCCATGCATATACACATACACAATAAATAAATGTAATAAAAAATTTAAGGCCGGGCAGTGGTGGTGCACGCCTTTAATCCCAGCACTTGGGAGGCAGAGACAGGTGGATTTCTGAGTTCGAGGCCAGCCTGGTCTACAGAGTGGGTTCCAGGACAGCTAGAACTACACAGAGAAACCCTGTCTTGAAAAACCAAAAAAAAAAAATAATAATAATTTAAGGATGCCTAAAAGTCACATAATTACAGTGCTGTACAGTCTGAGCGGGGTTCTCTGTACAACCAGTGAGGTTTCACAGAGATTTAATTCCCTGTCCCTCCCATGGAGATTCAACTCACGGCCTTGGACATTTCCTGGAACATACTCAACAGGTAAGTCACATCTCCAGCCTGTGGAAGTGATTTTTCAACCAGGACAAACCTCAAATAGCTTCAGTTATTTGAGCTGAGGCTAAGGCAGGAGGATCATTTGAGCCCAGGAATTTCAGGCCAGGTTGAGCAGCACAGAGCAGGCTATCCTGAATCAGGAAAACGTTAAGAACAGAGGCATGTCCAGTGTCCCTGCTGCTCAGTGCTCACTAGCTCCGCCAAAGTTGAATGGCACCTGCCCAGCCTAGCAACCCATATCAAGGACCAGAGGCCGACCATCCTGATGCCAAACAGGTCAAGGTAAGAAGGAACAGAACTCAGACAAGTGACAGGAGAAAGGACAGGGCACAGACTCTCTTTATTGAGTGGTAGGCACAGGAGAGGTAGCTGGATCCAGTGTGGAAGCAGAGGTGGCAGAGCATGCCAGGGCACTGTGGGCATCTGGTATTCTGGGGCCTTGTCCCCATTCTAGGGGGATGGCACAAGCTCACTACAATAGGAGCAGCAAGGAGCTGGCCAGAGGAGAGAAGCAGCCACAGTCTCCTGGCATCCTGGGCAAGAAGCAGCAGACGTACTTGGCACAGGGGCCAGGGGTCAGGGGAGCTGGGGCCTGGGTATTCTATGGAGAGTAAAAGGAGATCACGTCTGTGGCGTGGAATAGAGGCTGTGGTGGTGGCTACCAGGTCCTGGCACCTGGGAGAAGAGCAGAGGAGTGGTCCTCGTCTGGCTGGCCCCTCCCCAGCCTGGCTCACGCCCGATGGCACCATACCAACTGCCAGAGCCCAGGCTGCCGGACATGCTGCAGGTAGAGAAGCAAGGTGAGTCCTAGGCAGTGCCCAGGGCCACACATTCTTGAGATAGGAGAGGAGAGAGGCTGAGAATAGAGGCTAGGTCAAAGGGCAAACTGCTTTTAGGGGCAGGGGTGGGAGCTGGGAACTCAAAGGGGGTTTCACTGTGAAAAGACTGGGGAATAAAGGGTTAGCTCTTGGTCCCCATTGCTTCAGGAGCCAGGCATGATCCCAAGACACTTCAGGCAGGGCTGAGGCTCCTACCTGGTGCTCTCACTTCGGCTATGCTCCCAGGAGCAGCCCTCATCCTCACAGTGGCCAGCCCGGTCAAAGAAGTAGGATCGGGAGCCAAAAACCTGCCCATTGAGGATTCGACTGGTGCTCTGTAAGGTATGGGGGAAGAAGTCGCTACTATGGATATTTTTTCTGCCCCCCAAACTGTCCCAGGACCCCGGACCAGAATTCCCAGGGTCCAGGCCTCTACACTGGACCAAGAGGTGGTTGGGAGCCCTACCAGATCCTGTGGGGGCCGGTGTACCCGGAAGAAGCCCACCAGCAGTGTGGTGGGTAGCAACTCCCACACGAAGAGGATGAGGCCGAACACCAGGTAGCCTTTGTTCCCTAGGTCATTCACCAGATCTGCCTGGGGAAAAGCAGAGGCTGAGGACAATCTGCCACCACAGAGGATGCTGGCAGGGCCCTGGTCAACTGGAGGCTAGATACTACAGTTACTAAAGAAGGGGCAAACATGACCAATGCCTACCTGGTCAGATACGTTGTACCAGTCATAATCAAAGGCATCCAGCCGGCTCCGAGGGGCCAAGGCCAGAGCTGCCAGGTTGTAACAGGCCCGGCTGGCATAGAGCAGGACCATGGCACCCCCTATAGCAGCTGCCTGACACACACTGGTTCCCTGGCAGAGATGACAATAGAGGATCTTCAGGGAGAGAAGGCTCCTATCTTCCTTTACATTTTAAAGAACTCTGTCCAAGGAGCCCCAAGGATACATCAGGGTTGGTGGCCCTACCTTGGCCTCTAAGTAGATGCTGGTGGAAGGGGCTCGACGGGCCACGAGGCAGAGGCAGGCAGCGAGCGAGAGGGCACAGATGACGAAGAGAGAGTCGCTCACCAGGACACGTACCAGCAGAAGGACCCAGGGCTGTGCCTGGCGCTGGCGAGACAGCACTGCACACAGTACATTCACCAGCAAAAAGAGCAGTGAAGCACCCACGAAGGCCCCTCGGACAGCCAGCCTGCAGCCCACAGCAAAGTCAGCCCCAGACCATGGATCTCCTTGGCCCTCACCAGCAACCCTGACTCCTCAGGAGACCCCAGCGTCAATTAGAACTCAGATGGTCAAATCCAAACTCTGCTCATCTAGTTTTACATATGAGGAAACTGAGGCTCAAAGAGGGGAGATGATTGAAAGCTACAGCATCCATCATAGGAGCACCAGATCAAACATCTGGACCTGAGTGCTGAGTGGGCCTCATTCAGCTATGTGACCTTGAACATGTTGCTTTGTCTAACTGGGCCTCAGTTTCCTCATCTCTCAAATAAGGATAGGAATAGCACCTCAGGTGAAATGTGAAAAGATGCTCGTGAAGTATCTTTATAAACTGGAAGGCACTGTGTAAGGACAGGGGCGTTGCAGCCAAGGTCACTAAAAGTGCAGCAAGACTTTATGCATTCCATGGATTGGAGCCTCCATCTTTCTCCACCACAGATGTTGATGTCCTCTCTCCCCTGACACTATCATAGACGTCTATATCAGATGCTTTAGGTTTTTCAAACTCTATCACAGATATTTCTGAGATGTGTCTTGTCTCAACCCTGCTGGGTGGGCTCCTCCCTGACGCTGACCCATTAACATCTCCAGTACTTACAAGCCTCGGCTCATCTCTGGCCGACGCTTCGCCTTGGCCTTGAACACCACCTAGGAGCAGAGATACCCATCACTCCTTTGGACCCTTGGGATTGCCCTCCTACTCCCACCACACCAGTTCCCGTGGTTACCTGCGCAAAGTAGAGGTTCATAAGCGTCAGTGTGAAGAACTGCAGGCAGACAGGGCAGCAATAGAGAAGCCAAAAAGGCAAGGGGCCCAGGCGGTTGGCCCTGGGAGTATCTCGGAAGTAGAAGGAGAAGAGTGTGGTACGCAAGGCTGCCCAGAGCAGACAGAGCGCCAGGAATACCGTCTGATAGCTGAGGCGCTTGTGCCCATACAGAAGCACCAGCCAGAGCTGGGCATAGACAGAGAAGAAGAGCAGAGCGTACAGGGCAGTGTAGGCAGCGGTCAGCCCCAGGGTCACTGTAGGCGGCAGTGCAGGTACCAGCCCAGCTGCAGGCACCAGACCAGACAGGTTACTCTCCATGTCAAGGAGGGAGGCCTGAAACCCGGAGACAGAGATAGAGGGCTGGCTAGAAGCCAGGGAAATAAATACGGAGGGGTGGGAACTCCAATAAGTGGTGAGAGCTGGGAACTCTGGAAAAAAGAAGTTGGGGTTGTCAGGCCTTTCCTCCTCAGCAGAGACGAGGATAGGGGTGGGGGGTGGGCACGGGTAACCTGGGCCCTGTACCCGTCACTCTGGAGTGTAGAAGGATAGTCTTTCCTACCCAGGGTAAATGAAATGGGGGCTGGGGTGTCCCTCCCTGGGCCAGTCCCAGAGCCAAGATGCGAGGATGCAGTGGCACAGAGTCCCTGGCCTTGGTCGCTCGTGTCCGGCTGGCAGGAGGGGGAGAGCCGGCCGATGCCCGTCAGCTTAGGGCAGCGGCCGCTGCGGGGGCGCCCAACGCCCCGCTCTCCCCCTCCCCAAGCTTGGTTTCTCTTTCCCCTCCAATAATCCGGATTGGGAGGCTTCTTCCTCTGTCCTCAAGATTCCAGACGTGTTCCCCCACCGCGTCCACCCTCAGCCCCGGTGAATAAGAGGAAGTCGATGTCGGGTTCTCAGGCCGCTGCGGGGTAAGCGGGATCCGGCCGCCGGGACAGCGGGCTCCAGCTCCCCGGCTCCCGCTGCTCCGCCCCACTCCTGCGCCTGCGCGGGCGTCCGTTCGCTACGTAAACTGCGTAGCGGCCGGCAGGAACTCCGAAACCATGCGCCGCGCCCGACGTGCATATCTTCGAGAATTGGCGCAAGGTGCGCTGCCGGCGGGTGTCCGGGGTTACGGATGGCCGCGGGAGGCGGAGAGTAGAACAGCCCGCACACAGCAAGCGCCTGAGTTACCAGTTCCATGGACTGCCAGCTATTAATGTTTGGAGACTACCATTTCCCACGCTTAGACCCCCCCAAAACCACATCGGGATCGGCGTGCCCACATGAGGGGGCGGCAACGATTTCCCCGCACAGGGTCGCTGAAGGAAACTTCCGCCCACAACCAAGATGGTACCCGGGCCCCGCCCCCTAGCTTCTGTCTGCAGGCCCCGCGCTCGGGCCTGGGGCAGCTTACGCACACCTATCCTAGCAGCCGAGTCCCCTAGAGCCCACGGCTCGCCCTCCTGGGCGCTCCAGTCCCTTCTCCCGCACCCGGGCCGCTATCCTGCCAGAAAGGAGCTCCCGAGATGGCGCGGGGAGTTGTCCCCAAGACGGGCAGTGCAAGGCCTGCACGATCGGGAAGAAGGAGCTGGTCTTCCCATCCCGGTCACTCGGTCCAGGGGGAGCAATAAACATCGCAACGATCATTGCATCCGACGGCCGAGCTTCAGTGAACGGCTCTATAAGTAATCACTAAGCTGTTTACAGAGTTTTCACCAGCTCCCCAGGGAGGTGTCATTAGCCCCATTTTACAGGAAGGAATTCGGGCCCAGAAGGGCTGGAGGACTTATCAGCCGAAGCAGGCCTCCAGGATCCAAATGGGAACCCCAAAGCAGCCCTCGCTGGCTCCTGCATACGCCCTAGGCTTGAGGAAGTCCGATCCCGGAATCCGGAGCCTGGGGAACGACGCGGGAGGAAGGCGGTGGAGACCAGCAGGTCGGCGCAGGGGTGGGACCTGGCTAGGGGTGGCCCCGCCTCCAGGCCGACCCGGGATTTACTTCGAGAACTGATTGGGTCAGATCTGTGACAGTTCCCGTCGCCCAGGAAACTAGGGCCGGGCGCCTTTAGAACTAGAGGGAGGAGGCAGGCCCGGGTTAGGGGCCTCGAGATCGGGCTTGGGGTGAGACCTATTCGCGGTCCTAACGGGCAGGGGGAGCGCACTAGAGTCTGGACAGAGCTCTGAAGAGAGATTTAATATTCCGGCGATAGCCAGGCCAGACTCAGCAGACAGATGAGGGATTGGGAATATTTGGGGAGTTGGGCTACCTTGGTGGGAGAGGGAGACAGAAGTACCTCTCTCCTGCTTCTGATCAACACTGTTAGCCTAGCTGTGTACTGAGTACTTCTTACCTTCTCTCTACAGCCCAGAGTATGTTCCAGATCCCAGAGTTTGAGCCGAGTGAGCAAGAAGACGCTAGTACTACAGATAGGGGCCTGGGCCCTAGCCTCACTGAGGGCCAGCCAGGTCCCTATCTGGCCCCAGGTCTCCTGGGGAGCATCGTTCATCAGCAGAGACGGGCCCCCAGCAACAGTCATCATGGAGGTAGGTTTCTCACTACCATCATCTACTGTCCTATGCCCCCTGACTCAGTTGCCCCTGACATTCCTGTTGCAGCCATACTTCCCTTAAGACTCTTGGGAAGTCCCAGATGGCTCTGATCATCAGATTGCCTCTTCTACAATATACCTTATCACTGGGCTAACTCACAGAGATGTATGACATGTCCTTAATGATCAAGCTGGTTCACTGAATGCTGAAAATAGACTCCCTTATGTCCCCAAGATAGACATCGGTGGGAGGTAAGCAGAGCCCCAAAAAAGAAGTGACTTTCCTCCTCAGTGCCTGTAATAGGGCTTTCCAGTGGCCAGTAGGTTCTTATTCCCTGGCTCACCTACAGCACAACTGTTCTTGCCCAGATAAAACAGGCAGGTGACCCTAAGGTACAAACAAGATCCATGTGAAGCTGGAAAGTGTGAGTGACGAGATGGAAGGAGAGGCCTTGAAAGGTACCTGTTATCCTCTCTACTTCCCATTGTGACCCTGGACAGCCACAGAAATCTGAGCTCAACCAGGTTTGTCACTGGCTCTATAGAGCTTAAATTATCCTTACGTCCTGATGTATCCCTGGATTGCCTCAAGCTTCTGTACAGTTGAGACTAGCCTTGAACTCCTTATCCTCCAGCCTCTGCCTGCCAAGAACTAGGATCACAGGCCACCATGCCTGGCATTCACAGGCCACCATGCCTGGCATTCCGCCTTCTTTTTAAAATTATGTGTATGTGTATGCCCGTGTAAAATACACATGTGCAAGTGTAGGTGCCTTGGAATCCAGAAGAGGGTGTTGGATCCCTAAAGCTGGAGTTACAGGTGGTTGTGAGCTGCCCCATGTGGGTGCTGGGAACTGAACTTACATCCTATGCAAGAGCAGTAAATGCTCTGAACCACTGAGCCATTTTTCCAGTCCCCTGACCCCTTCTTTTAACTTTCAGGTTTCTTTCTTCTTCTTTTTATTATTATTTTTTATTATTATTTATTTTTTGGTCTTTCAAGACAGGGTTTCTCTGTGTAGCCTTAGCTGTCCTGGAATTTGCTCGACCAGGCTGGCCTCAGAGATCTGCCTCTGCCTTCCAAGTGCTGGGATTAAAGATGTCCACCACCACTGCTGGGCATATCTCCAGATTTCTTTTTCTTTTTTTAAACATTTGTTTGTTTATGTATTTATGTATGTATTTATGTATTTATTTAATGTGAGAACACTGTTGCTGTCTTCAGACTCACCAGAAGAGGCCATAGGATCCCATTACAGTTGGTTGTGAGCCACCATATGGTTGCTGGGAATTGAACTTAGGACCTTTGAAAGAGCAGCAAGTGCTCTTAACCACTGAGCCACCTCTCTAGCCCCATGGATCCAATTCTTAATTCCCGGGACTCACCTTGGGGCCCGGGAAGGCCTCGTTCTGCTTTAGCTTCACCGTGAGCTCCATGGACCCTGTGCAGCTGCCGATCTGCAAAGGTGGCTGTGGCGGGGCCACCTGGGAGGGCAGCTCTTCAAAGTACAGGCAGACCCCACTCAGCTGCAGCAGCTTGTGCAGGAAGGCAGGAGGCTGGTGCACGTCCACAGGTGGTGCCTGGCTGGGGTCCCGCACTGCTTCATCACAGTACTCCAGTCTGGAGAGTGAAGGACCTGGCCTTGTCCAGACAACCCCAGACTAGAAGTCCCTCTTTAAAGCTGTCCTAGCATCGTGGGACTGAGGAACCTGGCTTCCATCTTGTGGTTGTGGGGTGAGCTGGTCCAGCACCAAGAAGAGGAGCTGCCTTGAGTATTACACCTACTCCAAGGGGGTGCTCCAACAGGAAGGAGGTGCCAATTGGCTGGCATCATGCTAAGATGAGAGACTGGGAGAAAGGATGGACACTGTCATAGGAGGAAGGGCAAGTCTGAGGTTCTAAGTGGGGGAGGGACACTGACAGGCTTTGAAAACAGCTTTAGGGAGCACTGAAGCAGGGCCTGCTGCTGCAAAGAGCACAGAGGTGCACCCCAGCTCCATGAAGGAGGACTGCTGTGAATGAGGACTACCAGGGGACATAGCCCTGAGGAGGGTAGCCCAATGCCCTCTTTGTTTCCCTCCCTTCCCATGCTAGGCAGAGACCAGACCACACAGAGCCACTCCTTGGGCCAATGTGTGTGTGTGTGTGTGTGTGTGTGTGGTGGTGGGGGGGTTCATAAACATTTGATTTACTTTTCAGTGGTCTCAAAAGCAGAACTGGGTATGGCAGTATATGCCTATAATCTCAGCACCAAGCACAGATGAGTTTGGGGATGGCTTGGGCTACTTAAACCCTGTCTCAGCTAAGCAAAAGCAAGACAAGTGAGATTTGCAAGGGTCAGACCTGCCAGATCCATGGACCTTCTAGCCTTTTAGCCATCTCTGTGCAGAGTCAGCTCACCCTGGTCCTACCTCTTCTGAATACCTGCACCAGGGTCCACTGGGCTGTGAGCATCCCTAGGGCAGGGACTGCAGAGTAGGAAGGGAAGGGGGAGGCCATAAAATGAGAGAAGCAGCCAGTACTGGCCTCTGGGCCAGATTGCAGTTGCTGTGGAGGGCCTTTTAAGTGTAGATTGAGAGGTTAACTGCTTCTGCCTTAACTTCCTAATCTGTAAAATGGGAATAGAACTGGTCCTACTTCTCAGGGCTCCAGTAAGTAAACAATGCTTAGAAACTATCTGGCACAGAGAAGGTGTCATGGAGGCCCTATGCCCGACTACCACCCTAGTTGTGGATATCATTGTTGCTGTTGAGTTGGCTTATTCTCTGCAGACCTGGGGTTCCTTCAGTAGTAAGGGCAATTTATGTAACCCCTTAAACATCCAGGGTTCTTGCATGGCAAACATGAAATATAGGTTAGACTCAGGATAGAGGTGACTTGAAGGTATACAGATAGACAGTTGGGAGCCACTGAAGTTTAAGATAGACATAGTTGGGTTTTATAACAGGGATCTAGACTTGGGGGAAGCAGGAAGAAACTGCCTGACCTGCACCTTTAGCTTTCGACATGGGCTAAATCCCTGTGCTTTTGCACAGCCCCTGAGCTAGGAATATTTTTGTTGTTGTGTTTTGAAGTTTTAAGATTCAGGCCTAGGACCTCCAGCTTACTAGGCAAGCACTCTCACTAAACCACATCTCCAGCCTTTGTTACATTTGATGAGACAAAATCTCTCGTGTTGCCCAGG